ATCTTCTCATCTTTCATGCTATTAGGGAAGTTTTCTGATAGTAAATCTTCAACAATTTTGTCTATGTTTTCTGTTGTTCTCCCTGTTCTGGAACTCTGATCACATGTAAGTTTTTCCTCTTGATAGTGTCCCACCTAATTCTTAGGCTTTCTTGGTTTTTCTTCATTCTTTTTTCTGATTTTTCCTCAAATTGGTGTCAAGGGATTTGTCTTCAGTCTCATTAATTCTGTCTTCCAATGTCTCAGTTCTGCTCCTATGTCCTTCTATTGTCCTTCTATTGAGGTGCCTAATTTTGAATTTTTATTATTAATCTTTTGGATTTCTAGTTGCTGTTTTTTGCATGGCTTCTAATAGCCTATTTATTCTTTTTTTTTTTTTTAAATACTGTTTTCCTGAATTCTTCTATTGCCTTGTCTGTATTTTCCTTGCTTTTGTCTATGTTCTCCGTGATCTCTTGGAGAGCCCTGTATATTACTCTTTTGAATTCTTTATCAGGTAATTCCATTGCCTTATCTCCCTCTGGAAGGTTTTCTTGTTCTTTATTTTCATTGCTTGCTGGAGCCTTCTTGTCCTGATTCTTTATGTGATTTGATATTGTCTGTTGTCTCAAGGCATCAAGAAGTTATTTTATTTATTAATTTACTGTATGTTTGTTTGCTATGTCCTGAATTTTTGTTTTGTTTTGTTTTGACGTGACCGAGTAGGCTGGGCATGCATGCTACTCTGGTCGCTAATCTGGCCACGTTGGAGCTCTCACTTCCTGTCTTCGGGTGGTTAGAGCAGTGACTAGGTATGTGAGCATGTGCCCGTTTGCTGTTCTTGCAGGGCTGCTGAGGATGTAGGTGGTGTTTTTGGTGAAGTGATGTATCTTTCCTGCTGGTCACCTGGCCATGGGTGCAGGAGGTGTTCTCCCTGGTTGTTGGGTTGGTTGTCGTGTGTGCACTCTGCTGTGTGCCAGTTGGTCAGGGTGGAAGTGTCTGGGTGGTTGGTCACCAGGTGGGTGATGTGGAGACTCTTACAAGCTGTTTCTTGTGTTCGGCTTGGGTGTTCAGAGCAGGCACAAGCCTCCAGTTGTGTGAAAGCGATGCTGAGGGCAAGGCAGGGGGGCTGTTGCCTGCCCATGTGTGCCTGGTTGGAAGGCGTGCCCCTATCTGCTATAGCGCATCATGAGGAAGGTTGTACAGCTGGTCCTCAGGCTCCTGGTGTGGGTAGTTGAGCCCGTCTTAGGGGGTGGGGTGGTGGTGAATGCCACAGGTCTGCAGATGTGAGGAGCAGGGAGAGGGGATGGGCGAGTAGGGTGAGAGTGCTCCTCAGGCCTGCAGACCTCTGGCATGAGGGTCTGAGTTGTGTGTGTTGAGTGGGGTGGGTGCAGTTAACTTTTGCAGGGCATGAAGCACTCTTTTCTGTCTCTGACTGTGAATGCAGAGTTGCTCCTGCTTGTTTGCACCAGGTGGGGTGGGTTTCAGCTGGGAATGCTGCTTGCTTTGCTTAGTATGGCCACACTGCGCAGGCTCGGCCAGCAGGGCACTGGCACAGTTAACTGGAGGGGGCAGAAAGTGCTGTAAGTCTGTGGACACCCTGCACCAGTGGTTGGGTAAAGTGGCGGGCACCTCAGACTGGACGGAGAACTACTGATTTGGGGGGCGGAGGGTGTCAAATGCCATAGTTCTGCAGCTATGAGAAGTGGTGAGGGGATAAGCAAGGGAGGTGAGAATGCTCCTCAGGCCCAGGGACTGCGAGGGTGAGGGGCCTGGTGTGTGCACGGTGTATAGGGTGCCTGCACTTAACCTTCACAGAGCTGGAAGCTCTCCTGTCAGGCCCTTGACTTGCTCACAAAGTCACTCCCACTTAGCTGCTGCAGGTGAAGTGGGCTTCAGCTAGGACTGCTGCCCGCCTTGTCCAAATATAGCCACGCTGTGCCAGCTTGGCCAGCAAGACACTTGCACAGGTGATTGGAAGGGGTGGGGGGCGCTGCAAGTCTGTGGATCTCCAGCATTAGTTGGCTGAGTGAAGGGGCAGGCGCCTCCAGACTGGGGCTGTGAGCTCCCAACTTAGGGGTTGTGGAGTTGTTGAATGCTACCAGACTGGTGTTGCGAGCAGGGAGAGGGGATGGGTGAGGAGTTGAGAGTGCTCCTCAGGGCCATGGAGCTCTAGTAGGGAGGCGAGCTTGGGTGTGTGTGGTGGGTTGGGTGCATGCACTTAACTTTCGCAGGGTTGGAAGCACTCCTGGCTGACTCAGGAGGTGTGTGCAGAGTTGATGCTGTTTAGTTGCACCAGGTGGGGTGGGTTTCAGCTGGGAATGCTGCTTGTTTGTCTCAATACGTCCATGCTGTGTAGCTTCAGTTAGCAGAATGCTGGTGATCTGTAATTCCCCATTTCCGCTGTTTTCGAATAGTCTCTCCTTCCACCTGTCACTCAGTCCGATTCTTCAGCCTTATCTTCGATGCTTAGGGTTCCTAAATTGTCATATATATCTTATTCACTTTTTTTTTGGCTTTGTTGTAAAGCGTCTGGCTATTCTGCTATCTTGGATTGCCTCCTCTATTGTTATTCTGTTTTTCTACAATAGGTAAGGTGCTGTTTCTCTCTCATTGCTTTCAAGATTGTCTTTAGTTTTCAATAATTTTATTATTATGTGTTTTGGTATGAATTTCTTCGGGTTTACACTGTATGGGGTTTTCTCAGATTCTTGAATAGAAGTTATTTGCCAAATTTGGAAAAATTTCATGCATTATTTCCTTGATTATTTTTTCATCCCTACCCTTTTCTTCTGGAACTCCAACAATATGGATGTTATATCCTTTGTTAGAGTCCCACAGGTCCCTGAGTCACTGCTCACTTTTTGGCTGTATTCTCGTTGTTCAGCTTGGGTAATCTCCATTGTTCTGTCTTCACATTCATGGATTTGTTCTCCTCTCATCTCCATTTTGCTGTTGAGCATTTCAGATAAGGTATTTTTTGGTTCTAAAATTTCTATTTGGCTCTTTATATCTTCTGTTTGTTTGCTGAGACTTTCTATTCTTTCATGTGTTCATAATTGCTTACTGAATCATTTTGATGATGGCTGTTTTAAAATCATTCAGATAATTTTAACATTTGTTTTTTCTTTTCCTCATTCGGGTTGAGAATTTCATGATTATTAGTATGGCATGTAATTTTCAAGTGAAAACCTGGACATTTTTAGATTTAAATTCAGACTTTAAATTTTATGTAAATCTTTACTTTTAGCAGGCCTCTGACACTGCTTTGGTGGGGGGAGGGGGATGTCACTTCATTATTGTTAGGTGGAGTTAGAAGTACAGGTTCCTCACACTACCTTCATTGAGACTCCAGGGGAGAAAGGGCATCTCATTACTCCAGGGCGGGGATGGGAGTTCAGGCTCTCTACTGGGCCTCCTCTGACACCACCTCAGCAGGGAGCAGATGTCTCATTACCATCAGATGGGGTAAAACCTCGGCTCTCCACTCTGCTTCCTCTGACACTACCTTGTCAGAGGTGGGATAACTCATTACACTTTGGTGAGGATGGACTTTAAACTCCCCATTCAGCCTTTGCTGCTGGGTACAGAAGTGGGACTGCAGTGGTAGTGATTTACTAGAGTAGAAGTGTTGTCTACAAGTTTTCTTTCTTGCTAGATTGCCCTTTTTCGTTCCTTTGGCTAAAGAAAATAAGCTTTTCTTGGGCCTTTTCTGTCTGCACTCATTGGTGGTTCCAGGTTGCTGGCTTCTCTAGCATCTAGTCTGGGTTATATGAGTCAAAAAGCAAAACCAGGGATTTGATCAATTTGTTGTATCCTGAGGTCCCTAAGTGGTCTACTTCTCTTCACCTTTGAGAGTCTTCTATTTGTTTCATAAGGTCCAGGGTTGTTAGCAATACATAACTGGAGGAATATGGAACAATGTCTACTCCATCCTTCTAGAAGTGGACATCTCTAACCATTGATTTTTAATCTAGTCACTGCCAAATATAATTACTCACTGCCTTTAAATTCGCTTCAAGTGCTTTAGAACATAAACACTTCATTATTAGCCACTGATCATTTTAATACATATATTGTTTCAATGAAGAGTCAAATACAGTACATATTGAAATATTCTAGTGTCCTCTTTTTCCTTTGTTAGCCTCATTAAAATGCCCCATTTGAAATCTTTTCTTTTGTAACAGTAGACATTTCTACAGCATACAAACTTTGAAATAGTTTGCAACCATTTTTGCTGAATTAATCTAAAATGATATTGCTAAATTGAAAAAATACACACCCAGGACAACAAGCAAATTTGATCTATGCAGTATTTTAGGCAATTTACTACATGAATTTCATTTTAAATGCCCATTTGTCTTAGTCATCTAGTGCTGCTATAACACAAATTCCACAAGTGGATGGCTTTAACAAAGAGAAGTTTACTTCCTCACAGTAAGGTAGGCTAAAAGTCCAAATTCAGGGTGTCAGCTCCAGGGGAAGGCTTTCTCTATTGGCCTTCTCATCAATCTTCCCCCAGCTTAGGAGCTTCTCTGTGCAGGGACCCCAGGTCCAAAGGATATGCTCTGCTCCCGGCACTGCTTTCTTGGTGGTATGAGGTCCCAAACTCTCTGCTTGCTTCCCCTTCATTTCTTGTAAGATAAAAGGTGGTGTAGGCCACACCCCAGGGAAACTCCCTTTACAGTGGATCAGGGATGTGACCTGAGCAAAGGTGTTACATCCCACCCTAACCTTCTTTAACCACAAGCAGAGATTGATTTGTAACATGTAGGAAAATCACAAAATAGAGGACAACCACACAATACTCGCAATCATGGCCTAACCAAGTTGACACATATTTTAGGGGGACACAATTCAATCCATGACACCACTGATATCAAGGTTATAGTTACCCTTTAAACATACCTGCTATGTTTTGAAAATTCCTTTCTGACTTCCTATTTGACATGTCAAAATACGGAGTCCCAGCTCCAGGTGCACTTTTTAGGTGCATTTCAGAAGGATGATACATCTTAGTGAAACTTGAATGTCTTATGAATGTATACAAAGAAAAAATATCAATGTTTTCTATTATCTGCTGCTTTTATAAATTCACTTTTAAACCATTACTAATAATTACAAATTTCAGAATATTTTGTCCAATACCCACAAATTTTTAAATCACAGAATAAATTTTATTGAGTTTAATTGCATAGCAGATATATCTTTGTATTTTATGCAACAGAAAAAAATTAAAAAAATATTTTGATACAAACATCTTCTATGCTATTTACAAAATACAGAAAGGCACTAATGAGAATTTAGACACATATGTTAAAAAAGAAAATGTTACAATTATTAGTAAGCATGTCACAATGAATCTATGGATCTAAATTTTTTAAAAAGTAAAATTGATGGTCAAATTTCTATCTTGATAGATGTACACAAGCAGTTAATCATTTTAAAATATTCATTTGGTGGCATTAAATAGCATTGTAGTTAATTATATATGCAAAAATCTAATATTTTAATCTATTGAATAAACTTTTGTGCTAATTTTTTAAATTGTAAGTAGCAAAATCAACTTTCTATGAATAAAAGTTATTAATAGATAACACACTAAAATAATATGTAGATTTTAACCACTAACCCAAGCAGTTTTCCCTAGCATTTTCCCATTTGGGAATTAAAGAATTTAAAATACAGGTATCACAGGTTAATTGTGTGATTAAAAGTAATTTTGACAATGTCAAAAGTGGTCATGAGTAGTCTTCACTGATTTCATAAGCAAATTTTATTGTAAGGTTTTAAGTAAACAGTACGCTTCCTGATTTATTGAGAATAACACAGATATTATCATTATGACACATTAATCAAAAGATAAGCAAATCCAAAGAATTGTCCAGTTCATTTCACAGGCCATCAAAAACATGACATTCTCAGTTTCTCTTACATCTTGGGCATTATACTTTTGAATACTAATAAATCTTAATCATAGTAGATGCTTTGGTAAAGTAATAAATTTTTAAGCTCACCAAATTGTCTACCTCTCAATTGTAAGCCTCAGCTGGTATATACTAAACATAGCTATTTCCCTGAAAGTTAATTTCTGTTTCTCATACAAACTTACTTGCAGATGTTACTGCTATGCCCAGGAAGGAACACCCGTAAGTCCCTTAGTTCCTCCCTGAAGACTGTAAGAGTGACCATAGGGTCCATTTTCTACCTGTGGTCCTTCTGAAAATGGTAATGGCACCTTCTTTCATTCTCAGTGTTTGGATGATAAATTATATGCTCACCCTGCTATTGATAAGTAAATTAGGGAAAAAATGAAACACTCCCACAACAAACAGTGTGCTGATTCCTCAGCATCACTGCAGGGACGCAAGTTTGCCAAAGCCTGGGTCCTGTAAGCTTTAATACTGTGATCATGGAATTTAGGATTTAACTCAGCATCAAAGACTGAAATAAAAAAAAGATGATAAATAGATAATAGCCTCATTTTCTAAGAAGCATGTAACTAGCAAGAAGTCAAAGCTGTTCAATGTTAAGTCTAGGCTATTGATGCTGGCTTCTTGGATTTCAATCAAAATTCCAAACACTTATAGACTGGGTGAGTTTAGGCAGATTATTTAATCTCTCTAAACTTCACTTTCCTCACATGTAAAAGGCAGATAGTAATAGTTTTCTAAAGCATAGGATGATGTTGGGATTAAATGAGATAATTAATGTCAAAGCATTTAACACAGTACCTGCCACATGCTAAGCATTCAATAAAAAACTCAATTATCAAAGCATGCAACTAACCTTCTAGACACAGTGCAAATACATTCCTCAGTATCATATGAAGGAAGTGCACATAGGCAGTCTGTTCCCACGACTGGATAAATTCACAGCTAACTAATCAAAATCAAAGCGGACATTATATAAGTTATATATAATTTCAGATTCCCAAACAATTCTCTATTCATTCAATAAATATTTATTCAGCATGCTACAAAGATGTCACTGTGCCTTTCAAGTAATACTGGCACATACTCTTTAACTTATTCTCACTGAAAAATGAACAACACTAATGGGGAGAAGATTCTGATTTTCTGTAAAGATTTGTTCAACTAGAGAAGATTCATTTTCTGATAAGGAAATACAGTAAATCTTCATTCAGTAAATCATTATGTGTAAATGTATTTAAGTGCCAGAAAGATGAAGACCAGCGACCAAGCAAGTGGAATGGATTTTTTTTGTGTGTGATGAATTTGAGAAAAGACAAGATTTTGGTGATCAAAACTAAACAATGAAAGATTTTTAAAAATATTTGTTTCTTTAAAATAAAATTTTGAACTGGATTCTAATATATTCTAAGGTACTGTTAAGGTCACACAGTGAGGAAGGAATGAGGTGGTTATTAGAGCAGGCACAAATATCAAAACTCTCTACCCTTCAAGGAATACAACTTTTAAAATTCTTTAAAGCCAATATGTTCTCTTACTTAAAACAAAGGATAAAAATAAGGTTTACATTTTTACTGTCCATAAAAATTAGAAGACAATTAGGAATTTAGGTTAAGTTGAAAGGGAAATAATCTATACAATAGTTGAGGTAATTTGGACTCCCTTTGCTCACTAGACATTAATACATTATTAAAAAAAATCTGACAGGACCTCTTATTCTATTATTATTTTTTTAAAATAATAATAATAGAAACAAATGTTGCAGTTACAAAACTTGCTTTTCCATGTTAATTTTTTCAATTCTGATTTGTCATAATTTAGATGGTTCTTCTAAAAATAAGTACAAATGTATGAAATTTGCTAGTTTTTATTTATACATTCATTCATTCAACACACATTTCTCGATGTCTCTAATGCACCACTCACTGTGGTAGGTACACACACACACACACACACCCGTTGCTGTCTAGTGGATTTCAACTCAACGACCCTGTAGGACAGAGCAGAACTGTCCCATAGGGTTTCCAATGAGTGGCTGGTGGATTTAAACTTGCTGACCTTTTGGTTAGCAGTTGTAGCTCTTAACCACTGTGCGACCAGGGCTCCATGGTAGGTACAGAGCACAGAAATAAAAGCAGAATCCGGGAAAACACAAATAAATGTATATTTATAATAGAGGGTAATACACACAAAAAAATATGGTTTGATCGGAGCAACCAGGAGGATATACACCCCACTGTACGTGAGGGATCCTCCAGAAAATCACATTTGAGTAAAGTCATAAAGGCTAAACTTGAGTTAGTCAAGTCGGGCAGCGGGTGCATAGGAGAAAAGGATTCTGGGAAGAATGTATAAATCTAGGCTGGAGACACTGGAGAGAGATTAGCAATTGGGAGAAATGCAATAATAAGAAATGGCAAAAGTGAGCCTGAAAAGGTTTGGCATGGAACCTGCCAGAGTAAGTTATATAGTGAGATTTGTGTTTCAGCTAGATGACTCGGAGAGCAGTGTGAAGAATGGGTTGATAGAAGATGAGAATGAGGCCAGAAAATCAAGACCTTAGTTGCTGCAGCTGTCAAGGGTTGGGTGGGGGAAGCAATGGGGTGGATTAATGAGCTACTGAGAAGGGCAGAAGAACAGGCATTCATGACCATTACTGGTTAATAAAGGAGAAGAAAAATTACAATGAGTTCTAGGTTTTGGCCTGAGTAACTAGATGCTGGAGAAAAAAAAAAGAAAAATTGCAAAGGAAGAAAATTTATATTTGAGTATTATCTGAATATAAAAGTATCTGGAAATTTTATGTCATCATTAAATCTACTTATTACAGTGAACAACCCTGTTCGCTGTAAAGATTAATCGAGTTTCCTGAGGGATCTAATATGTAAACTTGGAGTCACTTTCCCACTTCAGCTTTTCTGCTTGCTTAGTGTTTGCAGTCAATTTACAATTGGTCATCGTTACTAGTTAATCCATTTATCATCTCCATGAGGATAACTAAGGGAAACATTCCATTTTTACATTAACAGCAGTGAAGTAATTTTCCAGAAGTCCCCCAGAGATTCTGAAAAGCCAAAATTCAGCTTTAATTTTCTGGACATGTTTTCTGCTTAAACTTACTGAAGTAACTTGTCTTTGCTGGAAAAAATAAATAGTAAGCATTACCATTTAAAAATTCAACTTACTATATAAATATTTCAAGTTACTTTACCTTGGAGCAGCATTTGTTTTTTTCTCTTGAAAACTATTTTAGCCAACAATTGAATGGTGGCAAAACAGAAGGATGCATACTTCAAATGCGCACAAATTGTTTTTGGTTTTGTACACACAAACAAACATACCCTTTTGAAATGAACTTCATCAAATAGCAGATTTCACTAATTTTTCACTGCATGAAACTGTTTAGAGTAAAATTAAGCTAACTGATTACTTTCTGCCATCATATAGGTATCACCCATGACAATTTTTAACAAATTAATAATGATAATGAATTAAACCAAAAGAAGTGCATGGCTTATGGCTCTGAGGCTAAGAATAAAATGGAGTCTGCTATTACTTAAGGGATGTATTCAATGAAACAGTATGTGTTCTACAAAACATGTATGTGCAGGTAACATTCTTTACAACAAAATATTGCCGAAATAAAATAATGAGCAGCTTGCAAGTTACTACATTATGTGTGTTGCGGCTTGATTATTCATACTTGTAAGATTTTTAAACATTGGTTAAGATGTCATATAATTTTCACAATAAGAATTTTATTATAGTTTTCACAGTCCATACATCATGTAAATTTCTATCATTTTTTTTTCAAATCATTGAGCTCCTCTTTCCCAATCTTTAATCCCCTAGCCACCAAGAACCATGGGTTCCTCTCCACCATCCCATGCTCTCCCTTGGGCTTCTGACCTTGCTCTGAACCCTGTGGCACTGTGAGCAGTGGGACACTGGTCCCACCAGCATCAAGGTTTCACATCGTCTTCCATGTAAACTAGTATCCTGTATGTGACTTTAATATTTCCTTCCAAGCCACTGACAACTCTTGTGCCTATTCAGATTTCATTTAAGTCATAAAATATTTCAGTTACATATGCAATAGATATTAAGTATCTTATTTTTAAGATTAAGTCTTAAGCATTCACAAAAAGATTTAAGCAGTGCTTTAGTACTGCTGGATTTCAGTCAAAAGGATTAGTATTTAAAAGCATTAATAAGGCATTTTTAGATATTTATTTAGCCATGGAATTAGTTTCCACAAACTGACCACCACTGAGCCTGAAAATATGTGGATTAAGTGAAGGCAGCGTGGAAAAACCTGACCAGAACAGTGAATTAAAGATACAAGCCAACAGGAACCACAGAAGCATCTCTGTGGCAGTATTGCATTATGATTATATGGATCTGCACCCTAAGACATTAACACCAGGTATACCCTAAGAAGTCTAAAACACAAAGCTTTAAAAAAGAACAAAAGCTCTACACTGTAAAAAACTAAGTAGCACTTTTGCCTGGAGTGGGGAAGCAGCAGAGAAGTAGAGATGAATGGAATAAATACTGGAAAATTTGCTTTGGTGGTAATGGAGATTTGGGGCAAGTGTTTTATTTACTTGCCTTAAACCAATTTTTATGGATGAAGAACATGGTTTTCTTGTGGAGGTTATAAAGTAACCATCATTAGCAAATGCAGAAAGTATTCATTTCCTAGTTAAGATACTATTTTTCAGTATTACAGAATGGTAAGCTTTACATAGAAATTGTTACAAATAGTTTGATATGTAGTAGGCATAAATTTGGGGGAAATTTTTTTTTAAGACAAACGGTAAAGGCTTTTTCTTGAATGATGTCTTTGGTTATAACTCGGCCTTGAGTGACATTTGCTGTATGAACTATTAACTGGTTTCGCTGGTGTCTGTTCCGTGTGTCCCTTGAAGACCAGCATTAAATTACTTGTCCTCTGTTATATTTCATAAAGCGTATGTAATACAATTTACCTTGCATTAATGTAAAATAATTACAGAATGAAAATAGATCTTTAGTTCTGAGATAGCATATATTATTCACAGAACTACTGCTGAGCATGTTGAGCTTTTTTTATCCTTTTGAAATTAAAGCTCGGATGGTCCTAAGAGGAAGCATACACAAAGCTGAAATATAAACTCTTGAAGAGTCTTCCCATGACTCTTGACATGACGTCTCTCATTCATTGGCTCACAGATTCCTGAGTTAAATGAAGCATAATGAAACATGGTTAGCATGTCCTTGTTCTTCTACAATAACTTATCATCACTTTATCAAAGCAAACAGTGCTGGGAGGGGGGGATCCAGCTACTGCCAAAATAAAGAGCTCCTATTCTAAACACTAAAAAAAAGTTGATAAAACTATAAAAATTTTGAATCTAAATTAGGTGTAAAGAAATGACTGATATGAACTAGTTCACAGCACCAAATATGTGAGAATAAATTAACAAAAGGATCAAGTAAAGTTGAACGGAAAAAAATGAAGCTACATGAAAAGTTGTAAAAGAAATTAGCCTATGATGATAAAAGAAAAAAAAAAATATATAAACTAAAACCTGTTGCGTGGCATCTATTCCAACTCATAGCAACCCTATGGGACAGAATAGAACTGCCCCATAGGGTTTCCAAGGAGTGCCTGGTGGATTCAAACTGCCAGCCTTTAGGTTAGCAGCTGTAGCTCTTAACCACTAGGCCACCAGGGTTTCCAAAATATATATACACATCGAAAAAAGATTTCCTTTTAAATTTATTACTAATTACATACAAAGATAATCTAGCACATAGTAAATAGCTAGGTCTTCTAGTCCTAGTCATGAAATTAAAAAAACTAATTGGATTAATATATAGATAGCCTATAAATATTGTATTTTACCTTTTATTTGCAGTATCATTTAGAAGTAACTGAATTTTTTCTGTGCCTGGGGGCATTATTTTCTATACCATTACTGCTATCGTCCGATTTCCTGTAGAGAAAACAAAAAGGAAAAATCACTAGATATTTCCATTACAAAAATAAATTCAGTATACCAATTTATAGAATGGTAAAAAGTAAGGAGATGGGGCCAAGACGGCAGAGTAGTCAGACAGCTTCCTATGTCCCTCTTACAACAAAGAACTGAAAAAACAAGTGAATTGATTGTATATGAATATCTAGGAGCCCTGAACAAGGCAAAGCTGAGGACTCAGACTGAGTGATGTGGGGAGAGAGAGTTCAGAGAAGCGAGGAGTTGCCTGACCTGACCCAGCGGGAGCCGCAGCCCTTCAGCCCGGATCGGCTCAGGGTGCACAGTGAAGCAAGCATACAGCCCCGGTCGCTCACTAGGGAGGCACTTTCCACATCGACAGAGATCTGGTAGCAGAGATTCTACTTGGACACTCCGAACCAGTGTAAACCAACACCCAAGTGGCTAAAGATTAAGTACGTTCATGGCCTTTTGTGGGGATTTAAAAAAAAAAATCATTTGGGAAATACCTCTCTCCCATTTATCTCCTCCCTCCCTGCTCCACGCAGGGTCCAGCCAGCTTCAGTGATCTGTGAGTCCCCTGGGACGGAAGTAGATCCCATAAGGAGCCCTGACCCATTCTCCTGGCCTTGGAGAGGGAACAAATGAACAAACAGGGAAAAAATAAGCTACCAGCTCCCTTAAGCCAGGAGCTCAGGTGGCACAGCTCCTTTGCCTAGGCACAGGCAAAACGGGTCCGCAGACTTTGAGTGCCTTCCACCCCTACATAGACTTGTGTGGACCCATCTCAATAGTGTAAGCCCTGACTACCACAGTAGAACAGGGTAAATGCCAGAGTCCAACTTAAACTGTTTCAGCTGTGAAGTGGCTGGTTTGTGACACCTGACACTGCTCTGCCCTTTAAGCAGGTGCCTCACCTGTCCGCATCAGGAGCTTGAGGACTGGTGGCTCCATCTATGCCACCTAGTCACCTGCTACAGGGGCCCAAGAATAAGTGGTGCCCCCCAGTCCTTACAGCCAACACAGTAGGGTGCTCACTGTCCAGCTGCAAAACTCACCTACCTACTTGCTCTAGGGAACTGGGACACGCTTTCCTTTCAGACACTCAGGGGCAGCTGTCAGCCCCTTACCTTGCTCAGTGCATGACCCCCTACTGCAGCCAGATACCTTGCTTACACCAATCACCCATGCCTTTCTAAGACTCTGGTGAGAGCCTGCACCATACACTTGGTGACCACCTGCCTGGACACCTGAGCTGAATCCATACAGGAAAATTTAAGACTCCTAGGGACACATACTTAGTTACGGACCGAAATACCTGGTGACAGGACGTTAGAGCTTCAAAGGCGCCAATAATCAAACTAGCCCACACTAGCAGCCTATTTGGGCATATCAAAACAAAACAAAACAAGAAGCTAGGACACACTAAACTAATATAAATAAAATTATAATAATTTATTGATGGTTCGGAGACAACAGTTAATGTCAAATCACATAAAGAGGCAGTCCAAGAAGGCTTTAGCAACTCCCAAAATAATCAATAAATTTTCTGGAGGAAGAATTTCTTGGAATTACCAGAGGCAAAAAAATTAATATACAGAACTCTTCAAGAAATTAGAAAATTTGTCAAAATGCAGTAAAGGCAAAGAACACGCAAAGCAGTAGCAGAACTTAAAAAGGTTATTCAAGAGCATAGTGACATATTTAACAGGCTGCAAGAATCCACAGAGACAGCAATCAGAAATCCAGAAGATTAACAATAAAATTTCAGAATTAGACAACTCAATAGAAAGTCATAGGAGCAGAACTGAGGCAACGGAAGTCAGAATTAGTGACACTGAAGATAAAGCACTTGACACCAACTTATTTGAGGAAAAATCAGATAAAAGAATTTAAAAAAATGAAGAAATTCTAAGGGTTATGTGGGACTCTGTCAAGAGAAACAACCTATGAGTGATTGGAGTACCAGAACAGGGGGGATAACAGAAAATACAGAGAGAATTGTTGAAGACTTGTTGACAGAAAACTTCCCTGATATCATGAAAGATAAGAAGATGTCTATCCAAGATGCTCATCAAACCCCACATGAGGTAGATCCCAAAAGAAAGTCACTAAGACATACTATAATTAAACTTGCCAAAACCAAAGATAAAGAGAGAATTTTAAGAGTGGCTAGGGATAAAAGAATAGTCATCTACAAAGGAGATTCAATTAGAATAAGCTTGGACTACTCATCAGAAAATATGTAGGCAAGAAGGCAATGGGACAACATATATAAGGCCTTGAAGGAAAAAAATTGCCAGACAATAATTATATATTCAGCAAAACTGTCTCTCAAACAGGATAGCAAAATTAGGCCATTTCCAGATAAACAGAACTTTAGGTAATATGCAAAAACCAAACCAAAATTACAAGAGATACTAAACGGAGTCCTCCGGTTAGAAAATCAATAACATCAGTTAATGCAAGACAAGAACACAGGACAGAGCAACCAGATATCGACTCAGATAGGGAAGTCGCAAAAATACATCAAAGCTAAAACACTGAAAATAGGGAAACAGAAATATTAACATGTAAAAAATTATGACATTAAAACAAAAAAGAGGGACTCAAAAAATGCAGACATAGATTTTTCATATGGGGGGAAGTCAAGGTGATATAAAGAAATAAAAGACTGGTATAAACTTAGAAAAATAGGAATAAATACTAAGGTAACCAAAAAGGAAACCAACAATCAACAAATCAAAATAAAAAAACTAGAAAAATATAAAGACTCAGCAAACACAAAATCAACAACAATGAAAAAGATGAAAAGAAAATACATAAAGAAAAACGACTCAGCACAGAAAATTAAAGGGAACAAAGAAATTGTGAACACACAAAAAAAGACATCAAAATGACAGCACTACACTCATACCTATCAATAATTACACTGAATGTAAATGGACTAAATGCACTAATAAAGAGACATAGAGTGGCATATTGGATAAAAAAAAACACGATCCGTCTATATGCTGCCTACAAGAGACACACTTTAGACTTAAACACACAAACAAGCTAAAACTCAAAGGATGGAAAAAAATATATCAAGCAAACAACACTCAGAAAAGAGCAGGAGTGGCAATATTAATCTCTGACAAAATAGACTTTAAAGTAAATCCACCACAAAGGATAAGGAAGGACACTATATAATGATTAAAGGGTCAATGCACCAGGAGGACATAACTATAACAAATATTTACACACCCAACGACAGGGCTCCAAAATACATAAAACAAACTCCAACAGCACTGAAAAGAGACATAGACAGCTCCACAACAGTAGTAGGAGACTTCAACACGCCACTTTCAGTGAAGGACAGAACATCCACAAAGAAAACTCAACAAAGAAAAAAGAAGAGCTAAATGCTACAGTCAACCAACTTAATCTCATAGACATATACCAAACACTCTAACCAACAGCAGCGAACTATACTTTCTTTCCAAAGCAATGGAACATTCTCCAGAATAGACCACATGTTCGGCCATAAAGCAAGCCTTAATATAATCCAAACCGTCGAAATATTACAAAGCAACTTTTCTAACCATAATGCCATAAAAGTAGAAATCAACAACACAAAAAGCAAAGAAAAAAAATCAAACACATGGAAACAGAACAACACCTTGCTCGAAAACTACTGGGTTATATAAGAAATTAAGGAAGGAATAAAGAAATTCATAGAATCAAATGAGAATCAAAACACATCCTACCAGAACCTTTGGTAAACAGCAAAAGCAGTGCTCAGAGGTCAGTTTGTAGCAATAAATGCACATCTTCAAAAAGAAGAAAGGGCCATAATCAAAACATTAACCCTACAACTGGAACAAGTAGAAAGAGAGCAGAAAAAGAAGCCCTCAGGCACCAGAAGAAAGGAAATAATAAGAATTAGAGCAAAATTAAATGAAATAGAGAATAGAAAAACAATTGAAAAGAGTTAACAAGACCAAAAGCTGGTTCTTTGAAAAGATCAACAAAATTGATAAACCACTGGCCAAACTGACAAAAGAAAAACAGGAGAGGATATTTGATAACCCATAAAGGAAATGAGATGGGTGATATCACAACAGACCCAAGAGAAATTAAAAGAATCATAACAGAATACTATGAAAAATTATACTCTAACAAATTTGAAAACCTAGAGGAAATGGACAAATTTCTAGAAATTCATCACCTACCTAAACTAACACAAATAGAGGTAGAACAACTAAACAAACCCATAACAAAAGAAGAGATTGAAAAGGTAATTAAAAAACTTCCAAGAAAAGAAAGCCCTGGCCCGGATGGCCTCATTGGAGAATTCTACCAAACTTTCAGAGAAGAGTTAACACCAATACTACTAAAGGTATTTCAGAGCATACAGAAGGATGAAATACTCCCAAACTCATTCTATTAAGCCAGCATAACCCTGATACCAAGACCAGGTAAAGACACCACAACAAAAGAAAATTACAGACCAATATCCCTCAGGAACATTGACACAAAAATCCTCAACAAAATTCTAGCCAATAGAATTCAGAAACATATCAAAAAAAATATCACTATTATCAAGTGGGATTTATACGAGGTATGCAGTGATGGTTCAACATTAGAAAAACAATCAATGTAATCCATCACATGAATAAAACAAAGGACAAGAACTACACGATCTTATCAATTGATGCAGAAAAGGCATTTGAAAAAGTCCAACACCCATTAAAAATAAAAACTCTCAACATAATAGGAATACAAGGGAAATTCCTCAATATAATTAAGGGCATTTATACAAAGCCAACAGCCAACATCATCCTAAATGGAAAGACTTTGATAGCATTCCCCTTGAGAACGGGAACCAGACAAGGATGCCCTTTATTATCACTCTTATGCAACACTGTGCTGGAGGTTCTAGCCAAAGCAATTAGGCTAGAAAAAGAAATAAAGGGCATCCAAACTGGTAAGGAAGAAGTAAAAGTATCTCTATTTGC